AAAGATGCAGCTTCTGTATACCTCTCTGCTCCCGTCTCTTTCATCTTTAACTTCCTGCTGGCATATTTCATCTGCAATTTCTGAGCCTAAGCTCCGCACAAGCCCATATCTCCGACACACACATTCTTAAACAATATCGATCTTGTTAAGTCATGTGCAGTGGGCCGGTTCTTTGTTCTCTATCAGTACTTTGTCCTTCACTCACCTCCATTTCAGACTCTAATCCAAGCGGCTGCTCCATATCCTGTGATGATTACTACCTGCTGGGAGATTACCTCCAATGTCAGGACAAACCGCAGAAAATCCCAGCCAGGATATCGGGGAGAATGTCACCTTTATGATTTGAAATGTATTCATCGGCTTCAGGAGCGAGAAGAAATGTAAAGAATTTGTTTCAGCTTTTTGCGACGGATGTTTTAATCAGGACTGACTTTTAAAGGAATGGAGGGAAGACGACACACTTTATAAACCGACTTTCTATTGCGTCAGGAAGGTTGAAACTCAGGCACAACTGACTCATTCTAATGTGCGGAAAGTATCTTGCCTAAGGACACAACCGCAGCTTGGCACTTTGTCGTCGCAGCCACCCCACTGTGGCACCTGGTGTTCAGAGGTCTCCCATCACAGTACTAACCAGGCCCTGCCCTGTTTAGCAGCTGAGGTCTGACAGGATCTGGCCTTCCCCTGCAGGTATGGTCACATAAATCTATCTTGTCTTTGGACGCCCATGAGCCAAAGGATGAAGGAACCTGTTTGGAATCAGTAGACAATGAAGACTTTTGATAATGGTCTAATATTGTTTTGTTCAAGTCATAAATGTTTCTGTTTGTGTTTTAAAAACAAATCATGAAATATAACTTTTGTGATTACCTTTTAAAATAAAAAAATACTATGTCACTTCAGCGGGCATAACTTTGATAACGTCAATTCCATGTCTGTGTGTGTGTGTGTCTGTCTATGTGTGTGTGTCCTTCTGTTTGTATGTATGGCAAACAAAATGCTTTTTGAACCCTCACCTCTGAATCTATTCTCACAAAGCCATTATTGCTTGTCTCAATCATCTCCATCGCAGCCTGAGAACCATCACCTCTCCATCACCTCCTCTTCCTCCTCCTCCTCCTCTTCCTCACCAGGTTAGAGGGGTTCACATCTGTCGTCTACCGTTTGAAAATCTAATAAACTGACAAACTGAAGCCTGAAGACATCAATACAAAAAACTAAGAATTCAGCTTCAGCCACATGTCAAACAGGGAAAATCCTCGGCGGTCAGATTGGAGTCACTCTTTACTGGAGACAAGCGGACAATTCTCCAGGCCACTTACTGAGTAGATTGGAACTGCATTTCCTCCATTTCCTGCACACAAAATCATATTCCGATGAAAAGATCCTTTCTTTGTCCCACAGAACTGTCAGTGTTGCATCACAAGTTACAGAACAGTAGAAATCAGGAGCTCACAGCACAAGCAAAGTTAATGTTAAAGTTGCAGTGAAGGATTCAGGTTAGCTTAGCATTAGCATCCGAGTAGCACTGAGTCAACATCACTCCCCCTCCCCCTGCCTTCCACCAAATCCATTCCCCAGCACATGAACGCCATTTCTGTAATAACACAGTCAGTGACGGAGCCTCAGCTCGAAATGTGAAAGTTTTACGCTACATTAACCTCAAGTCTGTAAGCGATCTGCCTGCTATACTTAACACGCGCTAGCTTACCCTAACAAACTAGCAATTAGTGCTTTACAGAGCACTCTCAACAACAACTCAGACAGGTGCCCACTGACGAAAAGCCGGGGGGTTTCTCAAGATAGATTCAAGATTCATTTATTTGGCCATGTGCAGTTAAAAAACCACATTGGAATACGTTCGCAAGAAAGGCACTCCGTGTGCACCGACAGAACAAAAACACGACACAATGCAATACAAAACACACATACACTGAACATAAAACAATAAAAAAACAGCTGACACTGTGGCACCGATCAACAAAACAATACAAGGGGTAAAAGCAGTTTAAAAGCAGGTAAAAGCAGAAATTAAAATGCTCTGTTTAGGCACCTAACAGCCTGTGGGAAGAAGCTGTTAGCATAGCGAGATGTCTTGCATCTCAGTGACCGATATCTTCTGCCAGAGGGAAGAAGCTGGAACATGGCTTTCCCAGGGTGGCCAGAAGAGTCATTGATGATTTTAAGAGCTTTGTTTAAAAGTCTGGATCTGTAAAGAACCTCCAGAACAGGAAGCTCACAGCCCACGGTCCTCTTTGCAGAGCGGAGCACCTTGTTTAAAGCTCTCTTTTCTTTATCTGTGATGTTTCCAAACCACACAGACACAGAACCAACAAGTAAACTCTCAATGGTGCAGCGATAAAAATTAAGCAGAATCTTAGAGTTAGTGGTAAATTCTCTAAGTTTCCGCAAAAAGAAGAGCCGCTGACGAGCTTTCTTAACAACCCGGTCAGTGTTTTTAACCCATTTCAGGTCGTTAGACAGAGTTAAACCCAGGAACTTGCACTCCTGTACGATCTGCACCTGGGAGTTGTCAATAACAACAGGAGTGTGAGAACTGCTATGACTGAAGTCAAAGACAAGTTCACATGTTTTTGCAGTGTTCAGCTGGAGATTGTTTACTTTACTCCACTGAAAAACATGTTCGATCTCTGCTCTATAAGAGGATTCATCATTGTCACTGATGAGACCGATGATGGTGGTGTCATCAGCATATTTGATGATCAAATTTGAGTCAGAGGAGGACACACAATCGTGAGTGTACAAAGTAAAAAGCAGAGGACTCAAAATACATCCCTGAGGAGAACCAGTGCTCACAGAAACAACATCAGAAAAACAGTCATTGATTTTTACTCTCTGAGATCTGTCAGTTAAAAAGCTAAAAATCCATTTACACATGGCAACATTCAGACCAAGGGACATTAGTTTTTCAACCAATATGCTTGGGACAAGACAATTAAAAGCAGAGCTATAATCAATGAACAGCATTCTCGCGACAGATTTACTAGTGTCCAAGTGACTGTAGACAGAGTTCAGGGCGAAGGAGATGGCATCCTCCACACTCCTGTTCTGTCTGTAAGCAAACTGGAGCGGGTCAACGCTCACAGGGATCTGGCTCTTAATGAAGTCCAGCACGAGCCGCTCAAAAGTCTTCATAAGAACAGACGTGAGGGCCACAGGGCGGTAGTCATTGAGACATGTCACTGGAGACTTCTTAGGAACTGGAATAATGGTGGACCTTTTAAAGCTCACCGGCACCGTACAGCTCCTGAGTGACAAGTTAAAGATGTCCGTTAAAACAGGGGCAAGTTGCTCGGAGCACAGTTTCAGGACGCGGGGAGGAATGCAGTCTGGGCCTGCGGCTTTCCGAGCTGTGGTCCTGGACAAGACCCGCCGTACTTCCTCCTGAGTCACTGTGAAGGCACCCTGACATTCGGGGAAGACAAAAGGCAGGGGATCAGCAGATTCAAAGCGGCAGTAAAAGTCGTTGGAAACAGTGAAAGGATAAAAACAATCACGGTGCACTACGGAGCTCTTGCAGCGGCGCCCTGGCACGGCGCCATCTTGCCATTCTTTCTATTGGTCTGCCTCAAAATATATGATATCTTTGTTGAGGCTACAGGCATCCGGTTGGGTCCATTCCTGTTTGAAAACCCATGATAAATTGACTTATTTTTCGGATTTAGGGACGTTTCCCCAAAGGATTAAATTAATTGCAATCTATCTGCCATCAAGAGGATGCCAGAGGATGGATCAGTCCGTCACTGAAGCTGCTCCTGACTCCTGTATAAAGTCAGGAGCAGGATTTGTACCAAGACACTCTCCACCTCCTGAACTACTGCCACCTCTGCTCCCATTTACATTATTCAAAGCTAGTATGTATAAGCACGTTCAAAACCCAATTAAAACAATGCAAATACACACAAATACTTCAATCACAGAGTCTGCGGTTAAAGCTTCAATGCTGTTTTTGCTAAAGCAGTATTCCTCAGTAACACATGTGCCTGGTCTGGATGATACTAGCTTCGCCCGTCGCAGTCTGGAAGTCCCGGAGAAGGCGTTTAGCCGCTGCTAGCATCACCCAATTATGCAAATCCTCCTAAAGAGCGCTTCCATATCACGCAGACTCTCGCACACGCTTTGAAGAACAGAAAAAGAGACCAACTGGGGATGGATTTCCTTTCTGCTCAAGTATGTGAATCACAGACTGCCGCCGTGCTTTCTCGCTTTCATTCTTGGACTTATGAAAACTCAGATTTTTAAAACGCTGGAAAGCTGGAAGTGTTGGTGGGTCTAATTGAGTGGGCTCGGCGCGTCGACAGAAATCAAGTGTGTGGAGATTCAACAGAGGGTTTCTAATGTGACTCCACTCGGATGATACGCTGTTTGCACTCTTGTGTTGTGCTCTCGCTGCTTAGACGTGATTAGAGAGACAAAATGGAGGAAGCCTTTGAACTTGTAGTGTAAAAATAGGTTGTTTGTGTCATAGCAGTGTTGTATACGCATATTTACTCAAGGACGCTCGTTCCAGGACACTGCACTTACTACTGTTAATGTCTTTGTGAAGTCTTCTGGAGTTAGATTTTAACTATAGGACTTCCACAGCAGTGTTGTTGATGCCTCCAGTTCAAATGAATGGAATTCTGAAAAAAAATCAAGCAATAACCTGAAAATTTAAGATGTATTCTAGAGATACAAGATAACAGTCTCATATGTCTGCTTATCATTCAAAAACTGTTGCCTGGATTACACTAAAGTACTGCTTTAGTCCTGCTTTAGTCCTGATCTAGTCCTGCTTTAGTCCTGATCTAGTCCTGCTTTAGTCCTGATCTAGTCCTGATCTAGTCCTGCTTTAGACCTGCTTTAGTTCTGCTATAGACCTGCTTTAGTCCTGCTTTAGTCCTGCTTTAGACCTGATCTAGTCCAAAAAGAAGAAAATCTACTTAAATCGTTGCTTTTGTTTTGACCACACATTCTTGTCTCTGTCAGTAGTCGTGTTCATGGTCGTATCCGTGGTCAGGTCCGTGGTTGTGTCCGTCTCCGTGCTCGTGGGTGTGTCTGTGGTTTTGTCTGTGGTTATGTCTGTGTCCATCTCCGTGGTTGTGTCCGTGGTCGTGTCCGTCCGTGTCAGAGGTTGTGTCCGTGGTCTTTTCTGTTGTCGTGTCCGTGGTCGATGAGTTTGAAGTCACCCGTCTGAGTTGATACCTTTGTCATTGGCAAAGATGTCGTAAAATCAAATGAAATAGTTTAATTAAAAACTAAAGTTTTTTTTGCGGATGCGTTTCTGGGTCACTACTTCTCCTCTGAACAGTGGCTTTGATCCTCTCTGACTCTGCAGGAGTCAGTGCCTTTCTTCTAATTATTCCACATTCACAAATTAGTCTGAGGTTATTTTCCGTATTTATCTATATTTGTCATCTGAAGTAATGAGCTAATGCAAAGCAAACAAACACATCCAGGAAGTGGCCTGAATGACGACTTTCTATGACAAAAAATAAAGTTCCATGGTAGCGTTGCATTAACATTATGCATAACTTATGCACATATGTTCTAATATTATAGGCAAGGCAAGTTTATTTGTGTAGCACAATTCATACTAAAACTTCTTAAAGAAGTCTCACAAAATTATACGTATTCAGAAACGCTGTGTGTTTACAAGTACAATAAACAGATTTAACTCTTCACCTTCTTCTTTCTGTTTCATTTTGTAGAATTGAGTAAATTATCCTAAACCTAATATATATATATATATATATATATATATGATGTACTCCCTCCTGTGTCTCTTACTGCTGTCACATTGCTCTGTTAATTTCAAAGTGAAACACATACTGTAATAATTGAAACATGATATAAATGTGAGACTAGATACAAATTAGGATTCGTTTTTTTTAACCAGATTTATGCTGTTAGTGGAGAACAAGAGATATTTGCAAGTTTGGTCCTGAAAGTTTCTCTCCGTGGGAAAAAGGTTGGAGACTTCTGCCTCAGAGACTTTGTGACAGATATAAAATACTACTTTCTCCTCTTTCGTGTAAAGCCAGGTTTATATTGAAATCCCCAGTTTGAGCTCCCGGCTGAATGACATGTTAAATATGATGTGATGTCATGGGTGAACTGTGCTATCTCTTTCTTGTAGTTTATGGAGGTCAACGTGAGGAGCCAGTCATTCATAAAAAAGGCATAGATTTAGTGCTTGTTTGAACACGATCTGTCACTTAGCTGTAGTGAACCATAACATCAGGACACCTCCGTATCAAAGGAAGAGCCCGGATTTATGGAGCCGTCTGGAGGAAGGGCCCGGGCCATGCATCAGTCTGACAGCGGGGGGTGGGGGCAGAGCTGCGGAGGCTGTGAGTGCCGAGGCTGGCCACTGGGGGGCAGTGTTGTACAGGGGGAATGCAGGTGAAGGCAATGGAGCTGTGATTCAGTATGGGATTTTTTATTTTAGAATGTGTCATTTTATTGTATTATATAATGACGACTCCTATTTTGTTTTTGAATGCCTTTTGATCTGCGTTTTTATACTGTTTTTGTGAAGCACTTTCAATGTCCTTGTACACCAACTGTTGTGATGTGTGTGTGTGGTGGTGTGCGAGCGTGCGTGCGTTTGTGTGTGTGTGCGTGTGAGGATTGAGCAATATGTCATCAAAGGTTTATAAATGTTAAAATAAAATACATTTACAAATACAATTTAAAATACATTTATAAATAAAGTAGCTGTACGGTAGAAGAAACAGTAGAAGTAGCAGTAGTAGCAGTATTAGTAGCAGCAGCAGCAGTAGGAGTAGTAGTTGTAGTAGAAGCCTTAGAAGTAGCAGCAGTAGTAGCAGAAGTAATAGTAGTAATAGCAGTAATAGAAGTAATAGTAGCAGTAACAGCAGCATTAGTAGTAGCAGTAGCAGTAGTAGCAGTAGTAGTAGTAGTAGTAGTAGTAGTAGTAGTAGTAATAGTAGCAGCTACTAGTAGTAGTAGTAGTAGCAGTGGCAGCAGTAACAGCAGCAGTAGCAGTAATAGTAGTAGTAGTAGCAGTAGTAGCAGTAGCAGTAGCAGTAGCAGCAGTAGTAGCAGTAGCAGCAGTAGTAGTAGTAGCAGCAGTAGCAGTAGTAGCAGTAGTAGTAGTAGCAGTAGCAGCAGTAGTAGCATCAGCAGTAGCAGTAGTAGTAGTAGCAGTAGCAGCAGTAGCAGCAGTAGTAGTAGCAGTAGCAGTAGCAGCAGAAGCAGTAGCAATAGCAGTAGCAGTAGTAGTAGTAGTAGTAGTAGCAGTAGCAGTAGTAGCAGTAGTAGCAGTAGTAGTAGTAGTAGTAGTAGCAGTAGCAGTAGTAGCAGTAGTAGCAGTAGTAGCAGTAGCAGTAGCAGTAGTAGCAGTAGCAGTCAGTCTCTCCAGGATTTTGTGGGTAATGTGATTGTTGCTAATTTGCTTCATTTTGGGACATTTTTCCAAAAGTTGCAATTGTTTTTCCTGTAAAACATACATCTTGAAAATAAAGTTACATTGTTTGATCAGAAATTAACTTACAAATAAAGTAAACAACATTTAACATTTACCAAAACAAATTAATTCACATAAAACCAGATGAAGGGTCATCTGTGAACGGCACACATTTTAAAGTGCTTTCAAACACATGCGTGGACTGTTGTGTGTTTTTGCACTCTCTTGAACAATGTTTGCACTTTTGCCCCGTCTCTGAAAGCGGTGAAACAAATACTTAACCTGCTAAGAGAAAAAATGTGTTTATTAAAGACCAACATTGAATCCAGAGCCGCTACTTCCGTTTGTCTAAAGGGACGCTGTCTTTGTGCTCCTCTCGTGACTCTCTGTTGATTTTTAAAGTGCGAGGTCAGTCGTTATGAAAAGCTTTCTGTTTGTAAATGTAATTCTGAAGACACACTGCGCGACCTTCAGCAGCGACAGGTTTCTGCTCAGAGACAGTGTTCTTTCTTTTTCACGGCTTTGTTCAGACAGGAGTCAGAGCCGCTGCAGTGAGTGGGAAAGATGCAGCAGCAATAACTTCTTTATTAAAACGGAATCTGAGTCAAACATCCTACGGGTAATTGCAATTTCAACTTGAAACCGTCTGATGGAAGAAACAATCTCAAACGTTTCTTGTTTTCTCGTGTGCACTGCAAAAAGTACTGAAAAAAAAAGATTAAACATTTCTCAATTTTGGCAAAATGTATCTTAAATCTTAAAGTAGCACTATGAAAATTTTTAATGTCAAGTCATCAATCTGTCATAATGATAAACCACGTTCCAATACTTCTTTAACTGATAATATTCAATTTCAAAATGAGTTTAACAGCCCCTAAATCTTGTTTTTGTTTTCATTTCGATATCCCGCCCTCCACCGTTTCAGAAAGTTTGTGATCCGGGTTGCCAGAACTCTGTGTCAAGCTAGTCTCACTGGTAAAGTGCCATGGGGCCACAGAACTAAAAAAGGTCTCGTTATGATTCTCAAATAATTAACGACTAAAAATAAAAAATAAAAAAAGGATTTCTATCTTTAGAAGGCAGGGGTGTCCAAACCGGTCCAGAAAGGGCCGCTGTGAATGCAGGTTTTCAGACCCAGGAGGACCAGAGCAGACTCCACCCATTTCATCAAATCTTCAAGTTAAGACTGAACTCACTTGAGGAAATGGGCAGAGTCTGCGCTGCTTCTGCTGGGTCTGATAACCTGCAGCCACAGCGACCCTTTCTGGACCGGTTTGGACACCTCTGGAATAAGGTATAAGGTGGTGTTTATAGATTTGTTGTTGTCATAACTCTTGTCTACTTAGCTACTATGGTCCTAGCTGGATTCGTCTGCATATCTGGCAACCTGAGTCAGGAAGAGTGAAAGAGGTTGCAACACCACATTTGCTAAAGGGCTAATATAGGAGTGTTCCCAGTTTGCTCTCCTCTGTATATGTTACTTGTAAACCTATTGTGTAATCATTGTTTACGACATGAATTTGACTACATGAATAGAAGCCACATTTTCAGAAAGACTGTTCCAGATTTTAGCTCAATTAATCTGAAATGCTGCCTCCTCATGTTTAGTCCTGACTCTGAGACCAGCAGGAGGCCAGTCCCTGTGCTCCTCAGAGTCCTAGCAGGAGGCCAGTCCCTGTGCTCCTCAGAGTCCCAGCAGGAGGCCAGTTCCTGTGCTCCTCAGAGTCCTAGCAGCAAACCAGTCCCTGTGCTCATCAATGTAGTGTCAACATAGAGTATAGTGGTTTCGTTCCATACAGAATTCTTGGATTATCTGAGTCTGTTTGTGCCTATACTATACTTTATTGTAAGCAGCTCATTGAGAAACAGCTCCAGACGTCCTCGATAAAGACACGTCGACCTCTATCTACCCTTGAACTTTACAACACGCGGAGTCACAAACTGCCTTCTCCATCACAGGAATCCCTGCAGACGACTGTGGACGACTGCAGAGCGACTGTAGCACACCTCCGCCAGAGCAGAAAGGCCAGGGCAGCGAGGAGCATACGTCTTCATTTCCATACATATGAGCCAGACGCCGGACCTCGATATTTCATGGAGCATTTCTGGGCCCATTGGATTTTGATAAGGTTAGAGCCGCCGGTCCCAGATGGAGCCACAAACCAGTAAATACGCTTCTTGGCCCAAACGCGGGGATTCAATTACAGGCAGCAGATGACCGAGCGCATATGCACGACGGGGATAAATATGTAGCGGTTGATCCAGATGAGCTGAGAATAATGGGGGAGAGCGAGGAGGGCAGAGGGAGGAAGGACGAGTGAGAGGGCAGAGGGAGGAGGCAGAGAGGAGGGAGAGAGAGAAGACAGAGAGAGGAGGCAGAGAGGAGGGAGAGAGAGAAGACAGAGAGAGGAGGCAGAAAGAGGAGGCAGAGAGAGGAGGCAGAGAGAGGAGGCAGAGGGAGGAGGCAGAGAGAGGAGGCAGAGTGAGGAGGCAGAGGGAGGAGGCAGAGAGAGGAGGCAGAGAGAGGAGGCAGAGGGAGGAGGCAGAGAGAGGAGGCAGAGTGAGGAGGCAGAGGGAGGAGGCAGAGGGAGGAGGCAGAGAGAGGAGGCAGAGAGGAGGGAGAGAGAGAAGACAGAGAGAGGAGGCAGAAAGAGGAGGCAGAGAGAGGAGGCAGAGAGAGGAGGCAGAGGGAGGAGGCAGAGAGAGGAGGCAGAGTGAGGAGGCAGAGGGAGGAGGCAGAGAGAGGAGGCAGAGAGAGGAGGCAGAGGGAGGAGGCAGAGAGAGGAGGCAGAGAGAGGAGGCAGAGGGAGGAGGCAGAGGGAGGAGGCAGAGAGAGGAGGCAGAGAGGAGGGAGAGAGAGAAGACAGAGAGAGGAGGCAGAGAGAGGAGGCAGAGGGAGGAGGCAGAGAGAGGAGGCAGAGGGAGGAGGCAGAGGGAGGAGGCAGAGAGAGGAGGCAGAGAGAAGGGAGAGAGAGAAGACAGAGAGAGGAGGCAGAGAGAGGAGGCAGAGAGAGGAGGCAGAGGGAGGAGGCAGAGGAAGAAGGCAGAGAGAGGAGGCAGAGAGAGGAGGCAGAGGGAGGAGGCAGAGAGAGGAGGCAGAGAGAGGAGGCAGAGGGAGGAGGCAGAGGGAGGAGGCAGAGGGAGGAGGCAGAGAGAGGAGGCAGAGAGGAGGGAGAGAGAGAAGACAGAGAGAGGAGGCAGAAAGAGGAGGCAGAGGGAGGAGGCAGAGAGAGGAGGCAGAGGGAGGAGGCAGAGGGAGGAGGCAGAGAGAGGAGGCAGAGAGAGGAGGCAGAGGGAGGAGGCAGAGAGAGGAGGCAGAGAGAGGAGGCAGAGGGAGGAGGCAGAGAGAGGAGGCAGAGAGAGGAGGCAGAGAGGAGGGAGAGAGAGAAGACAGAGAGAGGAGGCAGAAAGAGGAGGCAGAGGGAGGAGGCAGAGAGAGGAGGCAGAGGGAGGAGGCAGAGGGAGGAGGCAGAGAGAGGAGGCAGAGAGAGGAGGCAGAGGGAGGAGGCAGAGAGAGGAGGCAGAGGGAGGAGGCAGAGGAGGAGGCAGAGGGAGGAGGCAGAGAGAGGGAGGCAGAGAGGAGGAGGCAGAGAGAGGAGGCAGAGAGAGGAGGCAGAGGGAGGAGGCAGAGGGAGGAGGCAGAGAGAGGAGGCAGAGAGAGGAGGCAGAGAGGAGGGAGAGAGAGAAGACAGAGAGAGGAGGCAGAGAGAGGAGGCAGAGGGAGGAGGCAGAGAGAGGAGGCAGAGGGAGGAGGCAGAGGGAGGAGGCAGAGGGAGGAGGCAGAGGAAGAAGGCAAAGAGAGAAGGATAGAGAGAGGAAGCAGAGGGAGGAGGTGGAGAGAAGGAAGAGAGAGGATGGAGGGAGGAGACAGAGAGAGAAGACAGAGAGAGAAGGGTAAAGAGAGGAGGCAGAGGGAGAAGACACAGAGGGAGGAGACAGAGAGAGAAGGGTAAAGAGAGGAGGTAGAGGGAGAAGACACAGAGGGAGGAGACAGAGAGAGAAGGGTAAAGAGAGGAGGTAGAGGGAGAAGACACAGAGGGAGGAGACAGAGAGAGAAGGGTAAAGAGAGGAGGTAGAGGGAGAAGACACAGATGGAGGAGACAGAGAGAGAAGACAGAGAGAGAAGGGTAAAGAGAGGAGGTAGAGGGAGAAGACACAGATGGAGGAGACAGAGAGAGAAGGGTAAAGAGAGGAGGTAGAGGGAAGGGTAGAGAGAGGAGGCAGAAGGAGGAGACAGAGGGAGGAGGCAGAGGTAGGAGTCAGAGAGAGGAGTCAGAGAGAGGAGTCAGAGAGAGGAGGGTAGAGAGAGGAGGTTGGGAGAGAAGGGAGAGGGAGCAGGCAGAGGAGGCAGAGAGAAGGGAAGAGAGAGAGAAGGGTAAAGAGAGGAGGCAGAGCGAGGAGGGCAGAGAGACAAGGGTAGATAGAGGACGGAAGAGAGAGTAGGCAGAGAGGAGGAGGTGGAGAGGAGGAGACAGAAAAAGGATGGCAGAGAGGCCAGTCCCTGTTTTAGAGTCATCTTTTAGAGAAATGAAGTGAAGAAAACACCTCTTTATTTGCTTTTAACACAAATAAGTTCGGTCCATAACACTTGTACTGAAGACCCGTGTGAGTCTCATACTGTCCACTGTTGTGTGAAGGCTTCTCTGTGGTTTTTAACAGTGAAAACGGTTTTTAACGGTGTGAAAACGAATCTGTGCCTGAGGTTTTGTGATGGATTCAAGGATCTGCTTCTATCTTTAACTAATACCTGAAAATCAGATTTAAAAAGCTTATCCTGTCTCATCTGAAATCTCCCTAATCATTGCTCTTCTCTTGTGCCTTTAGTTACAAATCGAATCAAGAAAATGTGTTAAAATTCACAACGTTTAACCCTTTAATGTTTTCTCCTCAAAGAAACCAATGTAATAGTTTTATTTTTTTATTTTCTATGATGTTGGAACCCCTTTTTTATTATTAGAGGTCCTTACCAAATATTTGAAATGCAGTTTGATGGTAAAAGTGACTAAAGGCAAGTGAGATTTCAATTCCAGGCTTCGATAGTGACTAAAAGACAGAGAGAAGGAAGAGAGAAAGCAGGCAGAGAGGAAGAAAGAGCGAGAAGGAAGAGGGAGAAGGCGGAGAGAGGAGGGGGAGAAAAGGGAGAGAGAGGAAGCAGAGGGAGGAGGGAGAGATAAGGGCGAGAGAGGAAGCAGAGGGAGGAAAGAGAGAAAAGGGAGACAGAGGAAGCAGAGAGAGGAGGGAGAGAAAAGGGAGAAAGAGGAGGCAGTGGGAGAAGACAGAGAGAGGAGGGAGAGATAAGGGCGAGAGAGGAAGCAGAGAGTGGAGGGAGAGAAAAGGGAGGGAGGAAGCAGAGAGTGGAGGGAGAGAAAAGGGAGAGAGAGGAAGCGGAGAGAGGAAAGAGAGAAAAGGGAGACAGATGAAGCAGAGAGAGGAGGGAGAGAAAAGGGAGAGAGAGGAGGCAGTGGGAGAAGACAGAGAGAGGAGGGAAAGAAAAGGGAGGGAGAGGAAGCAGAGATAGGAAGCCTGGAGGTTTCATTTCATGTCTCTTCCTTGATGTTATTGTTATTTGGATAATACCTCGAGCGTAGGGGACTCTGGGTATTCTTTAAAGCTGGGTGAGGCTCTTTCTGCTCCCCTCCCCGCACTCACAAAGCTATCGCCCCCACACCCACCCACTGTTGTTTACGGAGCTAGCGTCTCCCAATATGGATAATACATGGATATGGATTTGCACGTGGATGGCGTGACCATAGAACGATAGAACCGGGAAGCGCGGAGGAACATGACTTTCTTTTGGATGGCTGTTTCGCTGTGTAAGCAGTAACCGGTGACGAAGACGAGGAAGCTTCAGGTTAGCTCCGCCGCTTGTTGTGCTAACTCAGCCGTCTGTGCTAACGGTCTGTAGATTTCTCACGAAAGTGGGGGCCAGTGGTGCACTGTGATTGGTCGCATTCACTCCGATCTCAAACCACTTTATACACCGCGTAGCATAAACATCTCTGCACTCGGTACGAAAACCTTCACTGGCTACAACCCCACAATAGACGTCACCTTCACTGGATGCACTTATTATTTCAATGTTAATGTCCGTAATATTTAAAACTGTTTTTTCCCCCTGCCTCTACATCCCTCTTTTCACTCAGAAGCTCAGATTGTCTCAACTTTTTCTGTTACAAATGTTTTTTTATAGAAGTTGGACGGAGATCATTTCAATACAGGGCTCTATCAGACTGGAACAAACTCCTCACATGCAAACAATTCATTATGTTTTTTGGTTTATTTAATGGTACACTGTGTAGTTTTTAATCCCTTCTAGTGTTGAGAGCATTTATTATAATCTGCAGTACTACGGTAGCTTCACAGGAAAATGTTTTGCTTTGACAGCGGCCCCAAACTCCTTTTTGTCCCTCATCAACCACTGTATTTCAAGAGGTAAATATTCTTGTCACGTTTGTTATTGGTTAACAGAGACAGAGAGAGACAGAGAGAGAGACAGAGAGAGACAGAGAGAGAGACAGCGATATAGACAGAGAGAGAGACAGAGAGAGACAGAGAGAGACAGAGATTGAGACAGAGAGAGACAGAGATTGAGACAGAGAGAGAGAGAGACAGAGAGAGACAGAGAGAGAGACAGAGAGAGACAGAGAGAGAGAGAGAGAGAGACAGCGATATAGACAGAGAGAGAGACAGAGAGAGACAGAGAGAGAGACAGCGATAGAGACAGAGAGAGAGAGAGTCAGAGAGAGACAGAGAGAGAGACAGCGATATAGACAGAGAGAGAGACAGAGAGAGACAGAGATTGAGACAGAGAGAGACAGAGATTGAGACAGAGAGAGAGAGAGACAGAGAGAGACAGAGAGAGAGAGAGAGAGACAGCGATATAGACAGAGAGAGACAGAGAGAGAGACAGCGATAGATACAGAGAGAGAGAGAGACAGAGAGAGACAGAGAGAGAGACAACGATATAGACAGAGAGAGAGACAGAGAGAGACAGAGATTGAGACAGAGAGACAGAGATAGAGAGAGAGAGTGAGAGAGAGAGACAGAGACAGACAGAGAGACAGACAGACAGTCTTGTATTGCACAAGACTGTTTTCTTTCCATAAATCTTTCGCTCAAATCCAGCTCTACAAATCGTCTGAAATGATCCTGGCTTCAGAGAGTCGAGCTTATGACATGCTTTGCTCCGATTTTGAGATTTCGTTCTTTGTGAGTTTGCCCCAAAGAACTCATTTAATTTCACCAAAATCTTGTTGTTCATTTCATTCAATTCCTAAAAGAAAAAAAAAATAACACTGTTCCAAAACATAATGTGATCTGGGAGCCTGGGTTTGTTTTCATTTCTTTTCAATTCTCCATTGTGCAAAAAGAGGACCATTCTTCGCATCCTCCAGACTGATTTTCATTTCATCTTAATCATGGACAATAACATCACACAGCTTTACCTACATCTGTCCTGTTTAAGCAGAGGCTGGGGGACTTTCTGCCCTCTGCCCTCCTCTGATCAACCCCAGTGCGTCCCAAAGTGAGGTGTGCTGGATGTAAAACAGAAAAAGTAGTTTTGTGCCGATGGGAATATCTACTTCTCTCTTTCTCTCTTTGGCTGTGAGCGGCTCCAGATTTATTGTTTTGGATTTCTGGTCGGAATGATTAAGTCCCATAGGCTTTTTCTGAGGCTAGAAGTGGAAAGAAGGCAGCGGATACACACACAGACACGTATACACAAACACACGCGTACACACAGATGCACATAGATACACACACAGACACGTATAGACACACACACGTACACACAGATGCACATAGATACACACACAGACACGTATAGACACACACACGTACACACAGATGCACATAGATACACACACAGACACGTATAGACACACACACGTACACACAGATGCACAGAGATACACACACACATACGCACACATACATATACACACACACACACACACACACTCACACACACGTCTAAGTAAACAGGAGCTGACTCACAAGTGAAGGTTGTGGATAGACCAGAGAGAGACCAGAGAGAGAGACCAGAGAGAGAGACCAGAGAGAGACACTAGAGAGAGACTAGAGAGAGAATAGAGAGACCAGAGAGAGACCAGAGAGAGAGATTAGAGAGAGACCAGAGAGAGAAACCAGAGAAAGAGAGCAGAGAGCGAGAGCAGAGAGAGAGACAAGAGAGAGAGAGAGACTAGAGAGAGACCAGAGAGAGACCAGAGATGGACCAGAGAGAAAATCTAGAGTGAGAGACCAGAGAGAGACCAGAGAGAAAAACTAGAGAGAGAGACCAGAGAGATTACTGTATAACATGTTGAGTGCACGCAGGGCACATGAGCACATTAAAATACCTTTTAATATAATTTCAACACAAGTCAAAACCTAATCCTACAAATTAATCCTACGAATGGACCTGGATCAAAGCTGTGGCTCTATTCTGTGAAACCGTTCCCAAAGCAGAAACACCACCTGCATTTTAAAAACCATCTTTGTTTGGAACGACACCAGCGTCTCTGAGAAGAAGCAGCAGGTCGTCCGAAGCCAATGCAGCTTTAATGAGGATTACTTTTTCATGAAGAAGTTGCTTTGAAATTCAGCAGGATTCAGACGTGAGCATCTCGCAAGGTGTAAAAACATTTTGAGGGCAGGAAGATGAGCTGTAAATCTTTGAAGTGGCCAAGGTCGGAGCGAGACGAGGCCACGAATACATTTAAGGACCTGGATTTCACCTCAGGCTGAGATGGATTTACCGTGACCAGTGGAAAGTGCGTCACTGAGGTGTCAGCTCTCACAGTTCATACATACTCACTTTTATTAGTATTTATCTGGTCTATATTCCTACTACTGCTCACATAATATACAATGTGTTCTTGTATCGCCCTAAATCAC